ATTCATCTATTGACTAGGCATGCACTTCTGGCTTGCTTGATAACCCCCCAGACCAGTCTTACTCTATCTCACACCAAGCTTATTGTTCCATAATAAATGGGCTCTTCACAAGCCAATATTCTCAGTTCATTCCCCTTTAGTTCTCTACAATGTTCTGACAAAACACTTTGCTGCCCTCTGGAATCCTAACAAGAACCAACATACTCCCACTGCCCAGGATCAGCAGCAAGCCATCCAATAAGCACATCTCCCATATGAGGAAAACTCAGCCAATATTGTAAAACTAACAGATGAATAACAAACGCTGCAACATAGCAGGGCATAAACTACACTCCAAACCACCATGCTAATCTAATCCACCATGCTCAGATTCAGACAAAAACTCCTTTAATCCAAGCACCTTCTCACCAGAGCATCACAGCAGCTACAAATCAACAATACAACTACAGCAACAAACAAAAACAGCAGCAAGTAGAACAAAACTCCCTGAGACACACCAGATTACACATAACAGCAGGCAACAAACCAATCAAAGGTAGCAAACAATAACTAAACAACAGTAGGCCTCCATACAGCAGCAGATCAAACTCCCATGTGTCACACCTTTTAGAATATCTCTCCAACTAAACTAACAACAATCAAAACAGCCACCACACTAGCAGCAGTCCAAGAAACCTGCCAGCACCTCCACTTTACCGCCTTTAGAATCAAGAGGACTCAATACACCTCCTAATTTGCTTAAAATTAAAAACAACATCATGGACAGAGAATGATGCACCCCTAAAATGAGCTCTCATCCAGATTGCCACTCTCACCTTGATACATTCACATAGATCTTGAAGATTGGGCTGAACAAAACTCCCTCATCTCTCTCTATCTCTCTTCCCCAATTTTTAGCTTTTTTCTTGTGTGTTTTTTCGAAAGAAGAGTTCGTAACCGTTACGTAACGGTGCGTAATAGGCTACCTGTTACGGCACTGCTACAACCGCTACGGCCGACACACCTGTGAATCTCAATCACACTACAAAAGCGGCCGTAACAGGTGGCGGTAACCACCACAACCATTACGTAACGATTGTGGTCGCTTTTTAAAACCTTGGTTGGAAGAGATGTTAAGAACACTCTTGGACATTTATGAACAATACCTTTCCGTACATGGCTATTTGTAGGTACTCTCACTTTAGATGATTAAACCATTGGTAATTTGATTTCCATGTTCACTTGTGTTCAGAATCAAGTCAAGATTCACATTTTTCGCTTTTATTTCATTCACTTATATATTTTTTCCACAAATCTAAGATCCAAACGCAATAGTAAGAGTTTGTTCTCTGTAGTGTTTACTCTCTTCATATCTAGATATGATTATATACTTAAGTTACATTGCTTACTTTCTAGAATTTATTTGTTGTCTAGTGTAGGTTTTAATTGTTGATCTTTTATGTGTTAATAATTGGTGATTGCTAAAAGCAATGAAAATTGGGCATTTTAGGTTTGTAGCAAGCTATTTTATTGCCTGAATGAATGCACTTGGATTTCTTTTCTATTTTCCTCTCTCAAAAATCCATTTTTTTTTTTTTTTTTAAGGAACCCTAAAAAGTCATTTAAGCACTCAACAAGGTTAATTTCCTTACCTCCTTTGGATCCACCTTATTGTGCAAGTTGACCAATCTTGTTCATTACTTCAGTTCTTCATTCAGTTTCGGCAAAATATCTCTTCACACAAATACCTTCTTATTTATTTATTTATTTATCAGTAACAAATATTATTTATAATAATATAGTTCAAAATTATATTTTCAACTTCATGCTTGATATTTCATCTGAGTTTGAAGTGTGTGCTTAGTGAGGAAACAACACCGAAGCAAGGAATTCGTGTGAAGTCAACTCTGAAAGGAAGCTTGTGAGAGGGAGAGGAAAAGTTGGCTTTTATGCCAACAGTTCTTGGAAGAGAGGGAATGACTATCAGTGGTTGGCTCAACCCATATGCATCATTTGGTGAAAGCATTCCAGCCTAGTCTCCTACTTGAAGTGGTTTTTCAACCCCACTTTCCCTCTTTCAAAACAATGCTCCTCAACAAATACCCTTCCTTGGGTTGGGGCAACACAACAATGAGTAGTCATTTTAGGACTCCACCCCCTTGAGTGTAGGATGCAAGTTGAGATGCAGTTGAGAGCCAATCTATACTTTCTTGGGGACTCCACTTGTTCCATCATCTGAAAATCGGGTTAGCATAAGAAAAGGAACCAACAGCTTTCTAAATAAGCAAAATACAATATGATGTCATTTGTTGCTCCATATGGTTAGATGACAACACTGTTGTAATCTAATTATTATTATTATTATTTTTTTGTTTTATTGATATATTCTCATTAACTCTCTTAATAAGAACATCATAAGTGATTTTGTTAAAGTAATCTATTGAAGCAAAGTTTTATTGATGCTTCTCTTCTAAAAATCTATATATGTTAAGGTTGTAGATATAGTTGTGCCAACAAAATTATTGCACAGTTGGGAATTGAAACTTATTGGATTTCCAAAGTTTTATTTGAAATTAGTGACCATGGGAAGAAACAAATAATCTCAAAGATACCCATATATACTACAAGGTGGTGTTTGATAAAACTGAAAATTAAGTACTAAAAACTAAATGCTGAATTTTTTAAGTTGAAAAATCGTTTAATAAAAATTTAAGCACTAAACTAAAATAAATTATTTGATATGTACAAGATCAAATTTGAAATTTTTTATTTTCAAATTGTATCTTTTAATTTTTATTTTGTGATAGTGAGTTGGTTGTAGTGGAAGCAATGTCAGCGTTAGCTATGGCGCCAATGGCAGTGGTAGTCCAGATTAGGAGATGGTGGTTATGGTGATGGTGGAAGGGTAATGTTGTGGAGATAAAAAAAAATAAAAAGTAAAAAAAGGTGGCGAGGGTGGTGTAATGATGGTGGTGGTATTGACAATAATGACAATGATTATGGAGGTGAAAGGTGTAGTAGTAATAGTAATGGTAGTGACGACTATGGTTGCTTTTGTGAAATGAGGAAGGTGGTTATGACAACAATAACAATGATAATGAAGGTTGTGGTAATACTAATAACAATGGTGGCAGTGGTGGCGGTGGCAGAAGTTGTTGGCCTGGGTTTGGGCCAGCATTTTGTCGTAGCGGAGGCCCGAGGTAAGGCCGAGTCATAGTCGACTTGTGGCACTTGGTGTTGTACCCTTTAAGGGAATAAAGTTGCTCCTTCACCACTACCTATGGATTTTGGTGAGATGGTAAGCGCTAAGGTCTTACAATTGGTATCAGAGTAAGGTCTCAAGTTCGATTCCCCTAGAGGGCATGCTGCTTGCAAGCAGGTGCTATGGAGAGGGGGATTGTTGGCCTAGGTTTGGGCCAACATCCTGCCATGGCGGAGGCCCGAGGTAAGGCCGAGTCACAGTCGACTTGTGGCACTTGGTGTTGTACCCTTTAAGGGAATAAAATTGCGCATTCACCATTACCTATGGGTTTTTGTAAGATGGTAAGCGCTGAGGTCCTACAATAGTGATTGTGGCAGTGGTGATGATGGTCGTAATGATTTTTTATTATTGTTATGTTGATACTTATGTTTAGCATTAAGTAAATTTCATATTATTTAATTTTTTTAATCGTTTAGCCTACATTTTAACAGGCAGTTAAATTTTAAGTGATCACAATTGTGGCTATCAAATGTGATTAATTGATTATCATTTAATACATTCAATTTTAAATGCTGAGTTAAGTATCAAACACTACTTAAGTTGACTACTTACACAAAAACAATATATAAAGGTTGTGAAAAAATACAAAACAAACAATCCAAGTATTACATATGAATTCAATCAAATTCATTTTACTTAATTTTTAAAATTTTTAACCTACATTTTAACAGGCAGATAAATTTTTAAGTGATCACAATTGTAGCTATCAAATAAGATTAATTGATTATCATTTAACACATTCAATTTTAAGTGTTGAGTTAAGTATCAAACACCACTTAAGTTGACTACTTACACAAAAACGATATATAAAGGTTGTGAAAAAGTAAAAAACATACAAAATAAACAATCCGAGAATTACAATATTTCTACATGCTACAGATGCATCTAGCTGACTTTTTTAAGTGTTGTGATTGACCAGATACCAAAGTCTATCTTTTCTTCTTTCAACTCTTTCCACTATTTGCTAGATACCAAAGTTTAACTTTTTGAGTGCTACGAGAACATCTTTCATGTTGATTCTATCACCGGGTGATTCTGCAGAGCAACTCAAAGCCAATTCCATAATGGATGATACGCATTGCAATACAACTGCTTTGAGATATTCTTCTTCTAGCTTAATCAAGTTAGCATCTATAACATCATAGATTGCATTTGGTAGTGACTCCTTTATCCAACGTGTCATAGTCATGTCTTCAAAAAACATTTCATCAATGGGCTTCACTCTTGTGAATGTTTCCACAAGCAAGATTCCATAACTATAAACATCACACCTCATAGATACTAATCCTTCCAATCCAAACTCTACATGCAATCAAAATAAATGGCATGTTGTCAAGAAAATTATAGAATTTTGGTGGTGGCGAGTTACTATATATCGGTGGTTGGATTCGTGGTGTGCTAGAGGGTGGTAGTGCTAGAGGGGTATGGGTGGTGGGGGGGTATGCAATGGTGGTAGGTGCTAGATAGATGAGTTGTTTTGGGAAAGAGAGGCTATGTAATGGTGGTTGTGTGGTAAAAAAAAAAAGTAATTTTGTTATTTGGTATTATTGTTAAATTTGACAAATAAAAAATATAAGGTAAAAAAGTAATTTACTTATTAAAGTTAACATCATCAAATTTATTTATTTTTTTAATTTTTTAATTTTTTTTTTGAAAAATGATATACAAGTCCACTTTTTGGACCAATTTTCTAGAAAGTGAGTCTAACTTTTGGGCCTAAATAGCAATGCTCTTTTTTTTATTATTGAAAGGGAGATCAATATAATTATGTTAAAACTGCAAAATTTATTTTTCTTATTATTCAATGGAGATCAGTGTGGTTTACCCTTTAAAGAATCAACCTGTTATCAACAAAATCATAAACATTTCTATGGGAATTATATTTAAAAGTTTTTGTGTTATAATATGAAAAGTGCATGTTTGTGTGTATAAATTGGAAACATATATAGAAAAAAAAAATGCAAAAATATAAATTAAAAAATGGAAGTCACCTGGTGCAATATAGCCAAATGTTGCTATGATCTTTGTATGTGTGACAATCTCCCCCAGATCTAAAAACTTTGCAATGCCAAAATCGCTCACGTGCGCAACCATGTCATCATCTAGTAGGATGTTGCTGGGTTTCAAATCGCAGTGAACCAAAGGCATTGAATAATCATGGTGAAGATACTCGAACGCACAGGCAACATCTATCATTATGTCTAATCTCTGCAACATATCTAAGAAATAGTTGTAAGAATACAACCACTTTTCAAGACTCCCATTAGGCATATACTCAACTATTACAGCTTTGAAATCAAGGTTTGAGCAGTTGCTAATGACCTTAGTAAGATTGCAATGACGAATTCATCGCATTGTCTCACATTCTATGTCAAAACTCTTGAATGCACTTTCTGCTTGCAAGTTGAATACCTTTACGGCCACAATTGTGGCATCTTCAAGGATAGCTTTGTAGACTAAACCAAAACTTCCCGTTCCAAGTAAGTTGCTCTCACTAAACCCGTTAGTTGCTCGGAAAAGCTGCTGGTATGTGATTCTTGGAGGTGTTATTGTTGGTAAGAGATCAACATTGGTTGGAGTTTTATTTCCTCTTCGACATTTTATGAACAAGAGCACAAAGGTCGTAGCAAGTATTATGAATGCAATAGGTAAACAAATATATAAAGCTAGAGTCAATCTTCTGGTCAAATGATGAAGGGAACTAGTATGGCATGTTGGGACTTGAAACTTTGGTGCACTGCATAATGCTTCATTCGACATGAAAGATTGGATTGTAAAGTTTGCAAAAGGTCCCCCATTTGGAATTTGTCCGCTTAACCTATTGAAAGAAACGTTGAAATATGAAAGATGAGACAATGTCTCTAAGGACTTGGGGATTACATCAGAGAGGTCATTATAGGATAGATCTAAGAATTCCAAGCTCACCATGCTGCCAAATGAGTCAGGTATAGGTCCTTGTAATTTATTGTGCGCCAATGAAAGCTTAACCAAGTTTTGCAAACCTGTAATTGTACTTGGGATTTTTCTTGTAAATTGATTCATGGAAAAATCTATGAGTGTTGCAACCTTCATACTCCCAAATTGTGGTGGTAGATAGCCATTTAAAGAATTTGATTATGTCAAAACTCTTGAATGCACCTTCTGCTTGCAAGTTGAATACCTTTACGGCCACAATTGTGGCATCTTCAAGGATAGCTTTGTAGACTAAACCAAAACTTCCCGTACCAAGTAAGTTGCTCTCACTAAACCCGTTAGTTGCTCGAAAAAGCTACTGGTATGTGATTCTTGGAGGTGTTATTGTTGGTAAGAGATCAACATTGGTTGGAGTTTTATTTCCTCTTTGACATTTTATGAACAAGAGCACAAAGGTCGTAGCAAGTATTATGAATGCAATAGATAAACAAATATATAAAGCTAGAGTCAATCTTCTGGTCAAATGATGAAGGGAACTAGTATGGCATGTTGGGACTTGAAACTTTGGTACACCGCATAATGCTTCATTCGACATGAATGATTGGATTGTAAAGTTTGCAAAAGGTCCCCCATTTGGAATTTGTCCGCTTAACCTATTGAAAGAAACGTTGAAATATGAAAGATGAGACAATGTCTCTAAGGACTTGGGGATTACATCAGAGAGGTTATTATAGGATAGATCTAAGAATTCCAAACTCACCATGCTGCCAAATGAGTCAGGTATAGGTCCTTGTAATTTATTGTGCGCCAATGAAAGCTTAACCAAGTTTTGCAAACCTATAATTGTACTTGGGATTTTTCTTGTAAATTGATTCATGGAAAAATCTATGAGTGTTGCAACCTTCAAACTCCCAAATTGTGGTGGTAGATAGCCATTTAAAGAATTCGATGATAAGTTGATTTCCAAGAGATCTTTAAGACTCCACAAGCTTATGGGGGTGATAGAAGTTAGTTTGTTAGAATCAAGGTAGATATACCTTAGAGATGTAATATTCCCCAAACATTCTGGAATTAATCCAGAAAGTTCATTTTGGTTCAATCGCAAGTCACCCAAATTTCTCAAATGGCATAATAGATCATTTGGAATGGAACCCTGCAGTTTATTATTGTGAAGATACAACCTTTGAAGCTTCCCTAACTGTTTGACTGTTGATGGAATAAATCCAATGAAACCATTTTGTGCCAGATTCAAGAATGCCAAATTGCTTAAATTACCAATTTCACTAGGAATGTTGCCTCTGATTCCACAATAATCTACATAAATGGTCTCGAGTGAAGCAGTGAGATTTCCAATGGTTGTTGGAAGAATGCCATCTAGAGGATTTAAACTTATATGCAATCTTTGTAGATGTCTGCAATTTACCAAGGAAGTGAGGAAGCTCAATTCTGGAGAGGAAGAAGATAACCCACTCGTCAAATTGTTTTCATCCAATTTCAAAGTTTCGAGTAGTTGTAAATTGCCAAGCGATTTTGGAATCGGACCCATAAATGCATTGACACCTAGGCCTAAATTAATGAGTTGAGAAGCATTTGAGATTGACTCTGGAATAATTCCAGTGAGTTTATTTCCTCCAAGCAAGATGGCATAAAGATTGGGTAGCCAAAGCCCTATATTTGATGGAAGATTGCCTGACAAGTTATTTAGCACAAGCGACATTATTTGAAGTGGTGAGATATTAAAGATTGATGTAGGAATAGAACCCATTAAGTTGTTAACAGAAAGTTGTAGCATCTCCATATCTAGAAGATCACCAATCTCCTCTCGTATTAGACCTGTCAAACGTAAAAAGATAGAAACTTAAAAAAATAATGGAAACCATTTAAAATAAATCTTTGATTAGAAGAAAAAAAAAATTCTTTCATTTCACACCAGTAATTAACACCAAAACAAAATATTTTAACTTGTACAATTAATATCATTTTGTTTTCTCTCTCTTGGTGGAGTTACCTCAATCACTAAAAAGATTGCATCCATATAACTCTCCATTTACTTTGTAGGAGTACCCATTAGTATTTTCCATGTACTATATATCCAATTTAGAAGAGCATGTAGATGAGAAACCTTTTGATTTCTAATTCACAATTCAAGATGCCTATTATGAGAGGAAAATGTAATCCATTGGTCAATTTTGTAACATATAAATATGAGAGGAAATATCATTTTGCCCACAAGTTATTACGCGAAAATTAATTTGACATTAAGACTTCTTATTATTTTAATTTGATCCCTAAACTTTTTAAGATTTGATCAATTTACCCCACGCCGTCTGTTTTCGTCGACAATTGAACGAGGCTTGCTGACGTGGCACCAAACTTTATTTAGAACTTTATTTTATCCCCCAAACTATACCTTAAAAATCAACTAGCTCCCCAAATATAAAAACATTAAATTAAAATATTTAATAGATTATTTTTATCTCAATAATGAAAAAATTAAATTTTAAATAATAAACTTTGAAAAAAAATAATAAAAAATATAAAAATCCACATTTAAAATTATTTCTTTAAGTCTCTATGTATGTATGCGCGTGCGCAATTCTAACTAGTTTATTCTCCAAATTAATTTTAATAGAATTGATCGACTAATAGTAATTTCGAAATTGAGTGGGTAAAAAAAATTTAAAATTCAATTACTGTCTAAAGAATACTCAACAAGACTAATACTCAATTTTTTTATTTAAAATTTAATTTTTTTTCATTTTTGAGATGAAATATTTAAATTTTTTTAAAATATTTTGGTAGCTAATTAATTTTTAAGGTATAGTCTGTTGGTAAAATGAAGGTCCAAATGAAATTTGATGCCATATTAGCAAATTTTGTTTGATTGTAGACGAAAACAGACGGTGGGGGATAAATTGATCAAATTTAAAAAAGTTTAGGGGTTAAATTAAAATAATGCGAAATCTGATTGCCAAATTAATTTTCATGCAATAGTTTGGGGGCAAAATGATATTTCCTGTAAATATAACAAGAATTTATAAATGCTGCAAGATAAAAAGTAAGGATAAATTACACTAATTTTTCTAGATGTTTATAGAAAATATAGCAAATATATAATTTTGGCATAATTATATCACCTTTCTTTTTAGTAAAATAAAAGACATTAGAACTAATGTAGATGGTATGAAAACACAAAAATAACAAGGTAGAATATATATTTCAGTGTAAAAGAGATACCGACATCATTTTTCCGTTCATATTATTAACTAATTAAAAAGGGGACTTAGTGTTATGTAAATTAAAATCTAAAGAGGGGCCTAGTTAATTATATCAAACTTACGGGATTTGTTTTATTTTCTCCAAATTTAAAAGGGTCTATATCTAAAAAAGTTACACTCGGGTAATCAATATATCCCAAAAGAAAAAGAAAAAAGAAAAAAGAAAAAGAATAGTAAAAGAAGCTCTATTCAAAGCGTACTTTGTTTAGTTTCAATTTTAAAATTCGTTTACTAATTTATAAAAAATAAAAAAAGAAAGAAAAAAAAATATTTTGACAAAAATAAACAGTAAAAATATTTTTAAAAATTTTTAAAAATTATTTTTCTTTCAAAAAATGTAAAACTATATAAAATTATGAGTGCTTCGTATTTATTATTATTTTTCACTAATTTTTTTTTATATTTTTTTATTTCAAAAAATTTTAGAAAATAGATTTTGAAAATGAAATCAAACAGGTTGTATATTCACCTTAATAAGAACTAGTATAATAACCGTACTATACACAAATATAAATAAATAATCAAAAAATAATTTTTGAAGTTAAATAATAACATAAACTTTGTTCAAAATGTTACTCCTAAGATTTGGTTTTGATGATGTTTATTTATTGTGTTTCATTGCTATATTTGTTTGATAATTATTTGACACAATATTTGTTTATAGCACATGATAAACTCAATGAACAAATATTTTGATATTTGTTTTGATCTTTATCTAATGTTATTTGGAGTTAATCTTGCTATTTGATTGAAACTTGAAAGGTTTTTCTTGCAGAAGTATCGACACAATGAAGTGGAAGGGCCGACACCAGCATTTAGAAGCTTCAAACAAAAATGGGGTAGCTGCAAGTGTCAACACTAGGAGGAAAAAGCGTCGACACCTTCAAGCAAAAGGCTTAAGAGAAAAATAGAAACTCAGCAAGTATCGACACTAGGACAACAAGTGTCAACACCTTAGTTCAGAATTTCAAAATTCTAAGTGTGTTTTCAACTATTCCAACGGCTATTTCTCTCATTCCAACGGGGCTATATTTTCCTCCCAATGGTCATTCGAAGATGAGGAACTATAAATAGAAATCCAACTTTTTAGGAGTTTATTATACAATTCTTCACGCATTTTTCTCTACAAATTATCTGTAAAGGGTTGTTATACCCATGAGCTTTATTGTAAGTATTTGAGAGAGAAACACTTGAGAGTTCTTGTAACACCAAAACAGGGGCTCTTTTGGTGAATTTATTTTTGGGAATTTTTGGAACAAAATCCTTATTGTAAAGGTCTTACAAGTACCCGATAAACTTGCTGGTGTAAATCTATTAAGAGGAATAGTGAAAATACTCGATGGGGAGCCTTGAGGAGTGGACATAGGCCCGGTTGTGCCGAACCACTATAAATCTTGTGTTTGCTTCTTTGTCTATCTCTTCTTTATATTTATACTTGTTTCTCTTGTTTTTTCTCTGTTCTACTTTGCTCACACACTTTCTTGCTCTTATTTCATATTCATTCTTTATATTTACTTGAGTTGTGCAAGTTAATTTTATTGAGTTAATATAATTTTTAAGTTATATTTATAGACCTAATATCCCCTCCTCTTGTGTTGTCTACCTAAGGTAACACAAAATATATAAGAAAAATAGATTAGAATCAATTAAATTTTAACTATTTTCATTAGAGTTACACTTGAGATAAGTTATTATGATGATGATGATTATTATTAATTTTGTTTTCTAAGTTCTTAGTACAAAATACATATAATTATTTAGTTGGCAGTCCATTTATGAAATTGTTGGGTTAATAGACCCAAACCTAAATCATTTTGGGCCAAAAGGATGTTATTTTCCCAAAAGAACACCTATCTCTTCAAAACTTACTTATTTGTCTATTTAGTCAAATATCATCCATCTGTACATGTGTCATCTATTGTTCAAATGTCACTTCACCGTCGACTTTTTAGCAACTTTTTCAACACTATCAACTTTTCAATACGTGTCTTTATAACCAAAAAAGATTGAGTGTGATGACTGAGTGCGTTATTCATCTCGTTCCTCTTTGTTTAACCTTGGGTTTGCCTTGTTGGAGTGTCAGATATAACCAGGAGACTTGTTAACGGGTTGGGTTTGTTGTGTTTGGAAGCTTATTTCAAAGTCCTTGCCTTTATTTATTTATGTATCAAGTTTCTCGTGTTTCAAAAGGTACGAGGTTGGGTTCGGAGTGTCCAGTGTCGAGATGGAAAATTTCCTGGCTAGAGGGCAGAGCCGCACGTGCGGGATCTTGGGCCGCATGTGCGAAAAGGGGGCTGCACGTGCGGGAGATGAGGTTGCATGTACGCGAAACAGGGGAGGATCTGGGTTGGCTTCTGCATAAAAGGCACGCGCGGAATGAGGTGCGGGGGAGATACCGCACGTGCGGGGGTGAGTGCCACACATGCGGGAGGCACGCTCCGCACGTGCGGGAATGGCCGCCGCACGTGCAGGAGTCACTGAGTCCGAAAACTTTGCTTTTCTCTCTTCTTGGGCTATGTGTATATCACTTTTGTATACCTCTCTCTCTCTCTAAAAACCCTTTTCTCCTCCTTCTCTCTACATTTCCCACACCAAACAAGATCAAAGCCTTGATTCCTTTAGATCCATTGGATTTTTAACCCAAGTTTCTTCATCAAAGTTGGAGAACTAACCGAGGGCTTCATCTTGCGCAGTGGAGATTGGATTTCAACACCGTCAAATTTGGGAATTTCTTATCTCCTTTTTCTCCAAAACTTGAGGTAGGGATTTTCTTAGAGTTATATATACATTTTTACAATATTATATTGATTTAGAACAAATTTTGGAAAGAATGGGCACTTGTTTTTTACTCATATGTTGAATATGATTTATTTCTTCCTAAAATGCGGTTTTTTCCAAAATGTTTCATAAGAAATCTTGAGATGTTGAGTTATGTTGTAGTTGGAAGGTATTTTTTGAAATAATAGAACTTTTATGAGAGGGAAACCTCATTTATGGAAATCCTAGAAAGTTAGAGATTTTTCTTCTGAGAAATATGGTGATGTTATGGTATTGATATATGTTGAAATGAGGAAATTTCATAGTGTAAGTGGGTTTGTTGATTGGAAGCTGTTATTAAAAGAAAAATGTGACATAATCGTGAAATGATTAATTTGTTGAGAATATATGAGTATGGAAATGTTGTTTCTCCTAACGGGTTCATATGGATATATGGAAATTATGATTACGAATGGAACAAATGTGTGGAAATTTTGTAAATGGGAGGATGTTACATTGCATTGATAATTGTTGCATTGCATGGATAATTGTTTCATTGGCATTTCAATACTTTTGCTTGTTACAAATATTGAATTGGGATTTGAAACCATGCATTGAGAAGGGAATGTTGTGAAAAAAGATTTATTGTAATGTTTTGGGGTAAATACGTTGGTAAGTCTGGATGGGAGGTGTAGATAAAATTGATTAAGTTGGCCTGAGTGTCCAGGGTGAAAGACCGAAAACATGCGCGGAGGAGGTACCACGTGCCTTCCGGTTAGCTACTAGTAAAGTGGGGATTTGATAGTGCTAGTTATGCC